ACTGGTCAGGGCAGTAGCCACTCCTATTACTTTGGATAACGGAAAGGAATTATGTCAATTACAGAGTATTTGCCTATGAACTGTGCCCGCTGAAAGCGTAAAACAGGGGGCAAAAATAGGCAGTGATAACTTCTAGAGTGAGATTAGATACCGGCGGACCGGTGTAGACTCAATATTGAAATAAGAGTTGCGTTTTACTTCCAGGAACAACAAAAAATGAGCTATTTGCACTGAATGTACATATTCACTACAGACTGTTATGTTTATTGCATTACATTATCCCTTGACAGCAGGTTCACATTCTCCAGCCATATTGGGAACTAATTCACTGCCAGAAACAGCAGGAAATGAATTATTGGCCCAATGATTTGAATGGGTAACACATCCAAGCAATATGAGGATATATTGTTTGACAGATACTGATTAAGGGCAATATACGAGGAAAGAAGGTTTACTTCTATTATAAGAACATTATGGAAGAATGACATTTGTTAAACGTTTGCTGTCCGCCCATTGTGAAAACACGGGCGGGCGGACAGCGGACTCTTCCCAGCTGGTGGACGATTATTTTTTTTCTGCTCGCGCGCACCACTTAGCAGGCGCTTGCAAGCTAAATCCCGCTGGTAATGTGAACAGCCGCTACCGGCTGTTACATTAAAGCGTTCAGCCCGCTCTACAGCCAGCCGATTGCTTGTATGACACTAAGGAACGTGCACCCCCCCCCCTCTCCAATGCCACGTCCCCCTTAGCTGCCGCGATACCCACCCTCCAAAGCTGCTGCCGGTTATCCTGGGCTCTGCTGTCCCTCCTGCGGTCCCGGGACCGGCACAGTGAGTACTAGCAGTGGCAAAAGAGGAGAGATCAGCATTCTCCCACTGCTGATCTCTCCTCCTCTCTCTCTAAAGGTGCCCATACACTGCTCGATTCTCGTACGAGAATCGCGGGAAAGCCTGCGATCGTACGAGAATCGAGCAGTGTGAACGAAGACGTGCGACCGTTTCTACTGTACGGTCACATGTCTTTTGTCTAAGGAGCACGCTAGAAAACCAGCCGAAAATCGTACGATTTTCGGCTCGTTTGAACGGTGCTCGGGAGACAAATGCCGAACGGGCCAGTGTGCGCATGTGCACACTGCCCGTTCAGCATTGCGGTCATCGGAAGCCCGCCCCTCAGGGGGGCGGGCTTGCAATGATCGAGAGTACGATCTGCCTGTCCAAGATGGGCAGATAGTACGTTTTTTTAATCACTTTACAACCATCGCAAGACTAAGGTCTTGCGATGGTTGTACAGTGTATGGCCACCTTAAAGGTGGAAGCAATGTGTATTACATCACTTCTGCCTTTAGCTGTCGTAGTAGATCTCTGCTTCATCAGCTTCTTCGGGGGTCCCAAGGTGACATTAGGGGTCTTAGAGACCCCTGATGTCTCCATAAATAGGACCTGTCATTGTTCATTGGCTATCACATAGGGGGCTTGTTAGCCCCCAATGTGATAACAATAAAGTTAAGTGTAAAAACATTTAAACAAAATTAAAAATTAAAGTCTCATATAAAAACCAAAAATACACACATACAAAAAATTGGATAATAATAAATGTTTCATAACAGGTTTGTTAAAAACGTTTCGAAACTTTTTTCATTATGTAGTAAAAAATAAAAACCCCAGTGGTGAATAAATACCACCAAAAGAAAGCTCATTGTGTTCCCTAAAGATGGTATAAAATTAAGTTCCGTACAGCGTTGCATGACGTAATAAATGTCAAAGTACTGCAGCACTGAATACTGAATAATGGCCTGGACAGGAAAAGGGGGTCAGCAAGTGGTTAAACATTTTTGAATACAGCTGATATGTTTAATTGTATTGTTCTAGGAGAAGAATCTTGATACATCAAATGGTAACATTGTTACTCAACATCAGGATAAACTGTTCTCAGTAAGATATACAGAATTTACCCTCGAGGAGATTATGTTTCTGTTGTAACCACTATGCAGCACAGACAGCCAGTTCAATCAGAACTAGCAACCAGCCTAGAACATATTATTATTCCTCAGGTGTGTGTGGGGGAGGCCCACCAGCTTGTATTTAATGTACTGGCCAAAATCTGCACATTGTTTGGGGCTGTCGGCTCCCTTTCAGCCAGCATTCCTCGATCAGCTGATCAAAATCTTCTTATGATCAGTCAATGAGCTGCCCGCCCTGATTGGGTATTCTGACAGGGACCAGCAGCACCAGTCACAATACAATGCAAACAGCGGCGATTCCTCAATCGACACGCTGCTTGTGTTGATGGAGGAATCATGTCAATTTCGTCCAGCCTGCGGGTTGAACGAAAGAAATTGACAGGTTTATGGCCAGCCTTAAGGTAACTTCTTGAGCTTGTGTATAATGCTCCTGATGTGCTAAAGGCAAACTAGTAGTTCATTCAGTCAAAAGGAAAATATTCCACATTGTTTAAAAATGTAAGATAGAGACAGTAATGAACCATTGAGAGCTCCCTTTAGTAGCTAATGCACAAATCCCTATATTTTATACATTAACAGAAGATTGTAAGAGCAATCTTGAGAAATGTGGCAGGCATATCATATTAAATAAAACTTAAAAGTAAACACTGCTATAACAGCTTGAAATATGCACCGCCTGAGAATTAGATTGTAAGCTCTCACGGGCAGGGCCCTCCTTACCATCTTGAATTGTATTGTGATGTAATGTCTTCCATATATTGTAAAGCGCTGTGCAAACTGTTGGTGCTATATAAATCCTGTATTATAATAATAATATTAATAATGCACAGGGGAATATTTATCAATCTGGTTGCATCCTATGTGACCACTATTCTGCCACATTAAAGAAAAGTATCGTGAATTGCAACACGTATACTGTTATAGTGCTAATTCCAATGCAGAAGCTTTTCCTTTAAAAAAAAAAAATGTCTTATGATAAAGAAGTATATTGTTGTAGCGGTCATATAAATAGTTGGGTTAGCAGGGATCACAGCTAAGGCTGGCCATATACCTTTCAATTTTTTCCGTTCAACCTGCGGGCTGAACAAAAAACAATTTTCCGATTTCTCCGTCAACACAGAGTGTCGATCGAGGAATCCCGCCGTTTATATTGTATTCTAACAGGTGCCGCCGGCACCTGTGAGAATACACGATCAGAGCAGGCAACTCATTGGCTGCCGGCTCTGATTGATAAAAAAAAATGTCCAGCCAGCTACTTCAATCAGCTAATCGAGGAATGTCGGCTGAAAGGGAGCCCACATACCCACACACTGTGCACATTTCGGCCGGGTCATTAAAAACCCACCGAAATTCAACCGGTGTTTGGGCACCTACAGAGAGCAGAGCTGCTAGTAGGGGCCAGGAGTGGGTGAGGTGCATTCTTAGGTCCATTTACATTTGTGCAGTGTGTTAACCCGCATTATGCCTTGCATTGACACAAGTTACATCAGGACAGCCTGTTGAAATCAATGAGCTTCCGGAACACCAACACTTTCCAAATATTGGACCTGTCACAAACTTGAGATTAAACCACTTTGCCGCCCCTTACAACACACCACTTTGGCCTTCATTCCTACTGGGCATTTATATGTGGCTGTGCTTTCCTGTGGCAAGAATCAGCAAATACTTGCTGCAAAAATCACACGTGATTTCAGACAACTGTGGCTGCTCAGCCTGTACAACACAATGATGTGGCTAACAGGAGCCACAGACAGGGCCGTTCCTATAATGAGGCAGCCTGAGGTAGTTGCCTCAGATGGCATCTCATTGGGGGGCGGCCAGGTGTTGGGATGGCTAGAGCTGAGCGGTACGATCCTCCTTGCATCCCACCAAGCTCCTGGCAACCAGTGACATCAGTGAGCCGGGACCTGGGAAGCTGTGGCTGCCCCATCCCAACACCTGGCCACCCAGGTGTTTAAGTGCCGTACCCAAGAAGGGGGGTGCCCCCTGGGGCAGATCTCACTGGGCCTCCACCCAGCCTCGGACTGCACCAGTAGGTCCGACCTTGACTGCAGCTCCTAGAGCAAAATGAGCACTTAACCCTAGCAGTGTGGGAGTAGCTCCACTGCAAAGGTTAATTTTTAAAATGCCCGGAGTTCTTCTTTAATTTTGATTCCACTTTACTTCCAGAAGAGCCCCCAGGAATTTTAAAAACGTGCCCTTGCACTGGAGGTACCCCCTGCACTGCAAGGTTAAGTGCTCCTTTTCTCTAGGGGAGTCAAATAAAGCTTCCTCTGGTACCGCCAGGCTGCTAGACTGATCCCTACAGCCTCTTTTTCTCTTTTTTCTGGGCTCTGGCAGTCTAAGGACTGCTGACGTCATCACATCTTATGCAGGTACATTGACTTAAATAAGATGTGAGGACGCCGAGGGACATTCCACAGCCGGAGTGGAAAATAAGAGAGGGGAGCCACGACCCCCGTAGGACCGAGAATCAGGTGAGTATATCTGCTTTATTTGAGCCCCCCAGAGAAAACAAACACTTAACCCTTGCAGTATGGGGGAAGGAACACTGCAAGGGTACGTTTTTAAAATTCCTGGAGTTCTCCTTTTAAGTAATGACAGATGTTTTGCCAAATCAATAAACCTGTAGCTAAAATGAAAAATGTTTCTGCTGCTTAACAAGTTAAAACAAAAAATCACTGAGATCGATTAATGAAGGCAAAAAGAGGGCCATTTGGGGAGCAAAGAGGGGCAAAGGGACTTGATTTCAAAAGATCAAAGTTGAGAGCTGCAAATGGAACTCTTTCTACATAAGGCAACATTTCCTTACCCACAGCATATTTATTCATGCCATTGCGAAACAGAAATGAGTAATGTGATTAGTGATGACACTTATTGAATGCATGTAAGGACATCTGATGACTTAGGGAAGTAAAGTGAGATGAGGGTGTGAGGAAGGTAGACTTGCAGTGATTTCTTCAATCAGTAGGTGTGACAGATCCCCGATCCTCCTCTAAGAAGGGAGCTCCCTCCTCTGTGGATGGAGTACAGATGTCAGTGCACTCAGCACACACACACACACACACACACAGCCCGGAGACCTGCACTTGTCACACTCTGGCCATGCATTCGCTGCCATTAGTACTGCTCTGCGCTGAGCTGACCACACTGGTCCTCTCCTTCCAAATCACCATCCTGCACACCAACGATGTCCATGCCCGAGTAGAACAGAGCAGCAGGGACTCTGGAAAGTGTGGCAATCCCGCGGACTGCTATGGTGGGGTGGCTAGGAGGTTCACCAAGGTTAAGGAGATCCGTGCCAACCAGCAGAATGTCTTATTACTGGACGGGGGCGACCAGTTTCAGGGAACTATATGGTTCAACGTGTACGCTGGCATGGAAGCTGCTCATTTCATGAATGACCTGGCATACGATGCAATGGTGAGTAGAGGAAGGAAGGCATATCTGATCTCACTTTATTACCTAGATCAAAGGGCAGAGGAATGCAATAGGACATCGCACACAATAATAAAAAGAGCTTAGAATAAACAGTCAGGACTTGTCATCGGTTCTAGGTGTGCATGGATACAATTGCTGTTCGTATTGTCGTGTTAATTATGCTCAGTGTGTGCTCACCTAGTATATAGTGGGGTTGTTGTTCTTCAGTAGTTATGCTTTGCCCTTGTTTCTTCCAGTGTCACTTTAAAATTATTATAAAAGAGATTCTGGTTGCACTGAGCTGCTATAAAGCTGACCATACATATTGCAACCTGTACAATCTCTGCACAATCTGCTTTTGATTTACCAAAACTATATGATATAAGGACAAATCTAAAGTACAATGAGGGGAATTGATCAAAACTGGAGCAGACAAAAACTGGAGCAGCTGTGCATGGCAACCGATCAACTTCTCTTTTTCATTTTCAAAGCTTAACTGAGCAAACTGAAGAGAGAAGCTGATTGGTCACCATGCACAGCTGCTCCAATTTTTGTCTGCTCCAGTCTTGATAAATTTCCCCCAATCGGCTTTCGATTTAACAAAACTATGCACTATAAGGACCATTCTAAAGAATTCATTCATTTTGTATGTAAGCGCTCATGTCTTTGCACTGCGGAGTTGTTGATAGGTAAAGGAGATTGTGCAGTGGGATTGTATAGTGCCCACCCAGTGGCCGTATGCTGCCCTTTGGCACTTACTGTGCTGCCTTTGGGGCCCCTGCAGACAGTAATTTTGTTTGGTGTATACTTAAGCCGGTGAAGGGAAAATATTTGTTAGTGTGACTTTCAGCAGTAAATGGTTTGGTTTGTTTCTTTCACACTCTCTTACTTTTTTCTGTGCTGTCTGTTCCTAATTAATTTTTTTTCCTCTGAGCTTCTGTAATGGATCTTGCTGAGACAAATATATAATGTGCCACAATTCATTTTTAAGGGGATTGCAGGGAGCGCAAAGGTGGAAGCACTAAAAGGGCTGTAATATATATAATAGCTGTGATCTCTAGCAGTCTCATGTAATGTGCCTATAGTGTATGTCTCCTAAAGCATATCCCAAGTCTCCAAGAACTCCTACAGCATGTATGTAGTCTCTGACCATCTCTTGCAGCATGTCTGTAGTCTCTGATTATCTCCTGCAGCATGTCTGTAGTCTTTGACCATCTCCTGCAGCATGTCTGTAGTCTCTGATTATCTCCGGTAGTATGTCTGTAGTCTCTGACCATCTCCTGTATCATGCCTGTAGTCTTTGACCCTCTCCTGTAGCTTGTCTGTAGTCTCAGATCATTTCCTCTAACATATCTGTAATCTCTGACAATCTCCTGTATCATATCTGTAGTCTTTGACTGTCTCCTGTAGCATGTCTGTCATTTCTGACCGTCTCCTGTAGCATGTCTGTAATTTCAGATCATCTCCTGTAGCATGTCTGTAATCTTTGACCATCTCCTCTAGCATGTCTGTAATCTTTGACCATCTTCAGTAGCATGCCTGTAGTCTCTGACCATCTCCTGTAGCTTGTCTATAGTCTCTGATCATCTCCTGTAGCATATCTGTAAACTCCGACCATATCCTGTAACACATCTGTAGACTCTGACCATCTCCTGTAGCACGTCTGTAATCTCTGACTATTTTATCGTTGCATGTCTGTATAGTCTCTGACCATCTCCTGTACCATGTCCGTAATCTCTGATCATCTCCTGTAGCACATCTGTAATCTCTGACCATTTTATCGCTGCATGTCTGTATAGTCTCTCACCATCTCTTGTAGTATTTCTGTAGTCTCTGACCATTGCATGTAGTATTGCTGTAGTCTCTGACCATTTCATGTAGTATTGCTGTAGTCTCTAACCATTTCATATAGTATGTCTGCAGTGCCTGACCATGCATTGTCTTCAGTCTTTGAAAATTATCTGTAGCATGTCTGCAGTTTTTGACCATCTTTTGTTGCATGTCTGCAGTCTTTGGCCTCTTTCTGTAGCAATAAATGTACTGATTATTATGTGTGGTCTTCTGCTGATGTCAGGGGCCCATCTTTATCAAGCTCACCACCACTGGTATAGTATGTGGTCAGCCTTAGGGCTCCTGTAGTCAGGTTTCAGACTCAGAAGTGAGTCAAATACTGTATGCTTTCAAGTGCTTCTGAGATGTGTTCTCTCACATTTGAACTGCTTTGATCTCCTTTCACTTGTTCAAGGAGTTGCTTTAAGTTGCCTCCCTAAAATAAATGATACACACCCTCTATATATCCTTCTTATAGCATTTCCTATTATAAGTTGCTCCTCCTCTGGTCAGTGTGAGATGTCAGCTCTGTCTCCACAATGGTTCTGATTTCTAATGGAATACTACTGTTTTTTGCATCATTCTGGGCTGCACTCTTCCGCAAATCCAAACCTGTGATCAAAAGCTCTGCCCAGGGACTTTGCTAGGATTGTGAAAGACCTGTAGCATCCTTGGGCACTCAAAAGAGGGGGAATAGGCAGTGCACTAATGCCATGCTGAACAGTGGGTGTGACCACATTGCATTAATTGTGGGAGGAGTTTAAAAGGGTAAGTGTAAATTAAACCCATGCTTACTCACTGTATACACAGCACATGCAGGAGTCCTGGTACCCACAAAATATGCTTTAATTACTGAGCCATGAGCGAGAGTCTCACAGACCCATATAAACATCAGCACAATCAATTTTAAGTAATAAACGCTTCCAATACAGATGCTTTTCTGCACACAGAATATAGTCAGAGAGGAATCACTTTGTCTAAGTCTGAAAAAAAAACTTCAGCGACTACTTAGCAACTAGTGAGACAATAAACACTTTGATGAAGAGTATGTAATGTGCAATATAGCATAAAGAATTCAGGAGTCAGAAGTAAGTAATGTACTAGGTAAGAGTCAGGAATATGAAAGGTAAAGCTTAGTGAATATAGTGCAGGGGTCAGAAGTATGTAATATATTGGGTGTAAGAGTCTGGAATATGAAAGGTAAAGCTTAGTGCATATAGTGCAGGGGTCAGAAGTATGTAATGTATTGTATTGGGTGTAAGAGTTTGGAATATGAAAGGTAAAGCTTAGTGCATATAGTGCAGGGGTCAGAAGTGTGTAATGTATTGAGTGTAAGAGTCTGGAATATGAAAGGTGCAGCTTAGTGTATATAGTAAAGGGGTCAGTAGTGTGTAACACACAGCGTGTAGGGCGAGGAGTGCGTACCACATAGAGTGCAGGGGTCAGGAGTTCTTAACGCACACATAGCGCAGGGGTCAGGAGTATGTAATGTACTGAGTGTATGAGATAGGAATATAAAATATGCAGCTTTGTGTATATAGTGCAGGGGTCAGGATTGCATAACACACACAATTCAGGGGTCGGAACTGCATAAAACGCAGAGTGCAGGGATCAGAAGTGTGTATCACACAGTGCAAGGAGGAGTCAGGAGTGCGTATTGCACAGTGAACAGTGGTCAAAAGTGTGTAATCTACAGAGTGCAAGAGTCAAGAGTATGTAATGCACAGATTGAAAGGCTCAGGAGTGCTTAACTCAAAGAATGCAGGGGTCAAGAGTACATAGGGCACAGGCTGCAGGGGTCCGAGGTATGTAAATCCAAGGCCAACAAGGAATGCCTAGAGTGCAGTGGTCAAATCCCCCCTCCCCCCTGTCTATAGTACTCAACCTCCCTTCCAGTACACAAATGTCTCCCCCCAGTACACCTGTACACAGGCACCTGGCATTGCATAAGTAATCTGACATCAACCATAGCTTTGCTTGAAGTTTTACACTGTTCATGTGGCAGAGGAATGTTAAAAAAAGTTGGAAAGGATCCTTTCAATTCAGGCTGGAAATTTTTTCTTGTCGCTTATCTGAATTAATGGAATTCTAACCGTGAATGTGATTTTCGTTTGGGAAAAATCATACATTACATACATATATAAATATAATGCGTATGTGTCAGACACAAAACAACCTAGTACGTCTGGGATTCCTTTCAAGTAGCAGGTCTGGATGACATTTTTAATGGTTTTTCGAATAAATTTAGGAGATTCAGTGATGGCAAGATCAAATGTTCTGATGAACAATTTTGTACAAGTGTTAAATTCAGCTTAGAACATAAATGGCCCTGGGCACATTGTTTATCATGTAATTTTCACATTCCAAGCAAGTCATACCTTGTAAATGTTTTTATGATTTGTGCATTTTATTGGATAGCATATTATACAGGTGATTCAGAGTTGTTAGTAAGCCTGGATGAACTAGAGATCATTGTTATACTTTACAGTATATACTGTATTTTCTCACTGCTGTTTAAGAGCACATTGATCAGATCATTGTTATTTAATGGGAAAATAAATTGTGTCCATATTTAACTTCTGTATAGTGCAGAGATTTGCAGTGCTGGTAATGTATAATTTCAGTACAACTAAACATTTTCCAGGCGGACTTATGATATTTTGTGCTGTCTTTTTTTTCTTTTTTTCCAAGGCACATAGGTGTACCTACAAATGGAAACAATCAGAAAAAAGTAATTTCTGGTAGGAAAACATCTGCCACCTCCATTACTGAATTTTCAGTAGACAAATGACCTTTATGAACAACCAATAGAAATGTATATAGCACAGCCTTATAGGATCGCCCCTTGCTCTACCCCTTCTTACGGTGTATATCAAACTAGTAAGCAGCAAACTAGAAAAAACAACTTAGTATCGGCATTTACTTTAGAGAATACTCCCTTCTTCCATAAATAGGCTGCAATTGGTTCAAATGTAGGATAAGCTTCCCTTAAATACATACCGTATAAGGTGCATATAATCTCCTACAGCTATATTCAAGAATCATGACCATGACTATGTTGTGCTAAGACTTTTAGTTTTTCAGCAGTGATTTTGCTGCAGCATGCATCCTCCTAAAGTCTGCTAAAATGGATTTCTGGTAGCTGTCGATTAATAATAACAATGGTGTCCATG